CGCTATGCCGCTATGACACGTACAGCTTTCCTCAGTGACGCATTTAAGGAGAATTGGCAGAATGAAGTTAGAATTAAATCATGCTATCTATTGAAACTGAATCTAAAGATTTGTACAGCCTTTGAACAACCAGCACTCAAAATTAACATCTGAATTAATCTGTTACAACTAATATCATTAGCCAGCATCAGGTCTGTAAAGTGAGAGTTGTTATCTATTTTTGCCCACTCAGTAACATGAATGGATATAAAAGGAGCACCTTAGAGAGGCAGGATCAGTTAGAAATATTCACCTGCATAATGGAAAAGCAAAACAGGGCAAAGCAGATACAGGACTGCTGAGCATAAAAAAACCTACATCGGACCGGAATGGGACAACAATCCCGAGACCCAACCAGCACTCTCCTCAGTCCTTTCCTCTCTACAGACCTCACTGGGGTAAATCTGACTCCGTTCCAACTTTTTTTTAGCTTTGTTTGTCATAGTCTGGCACCAGTTTGATTTTACTGTTGTGATTTAACCAGCTGTGTCTCATCTACCCCATAATCTGCCAGCGTTTAGGCACTGGCTTCAGCTGCTGCATTGTCTGCCTCCCTATTGTGGTAACCAGGCACTTTAATGCTTATTCCATGAACCACCTTTTTAGATATCTCTCTAGAAATGCCCATCAAATGGCACAGAGTTTACAATTTGTAGGAGAAACTAATGCGTGAAGATAGTTACAATACATCAAGCAGCTAGTTCACCACCTCAAACGCGGATAATTTGAATACAAGAGGTACTGTTTAGGAGGTAATCTAAGTTTGAACTTCTAACATCTGCTGCAATCATTGCTATTTATTCTTAGTATTCATTTAAAAAATGTTGTCATAGCAATTCTTATTTCAACTCATCAAACACATCTCAGCACCAACTTTGTTGTTATTCAGAGAGGTCACGTGCCGGATGGTGGGGAAAATACTTCATTCTAAAGAATGATGAGCAGATCATAGAATTCTTTCTCCAACATGCCAAACCAAGGGGTAAATGTAAAAGTGGAGGGAAAGCAGATGAGGCTTTCATTGCCACAGGAGTAATTGACTTCTGTTGTTCGGGTTGTCTTGAAGTTCGTTTTAGCTCAGAAAAGGATGTGCAGAGTGGCAGCGATTAGGCATGACTCACACTGAGTGTTAAACAAACGCTATTAAAAAAAAGGGAACATTACACTGTTAAATCTGAAGAGTAATTACTGCCAAATTGTCTGGTGACTTGTTGGGCTTTTTGTTTCAAGTGAATGAAGACGAGCTCAAAGTGGTCTGAAAAATAATCCTGTGCAATAGGACAAATTGAAAAAATATTTATATACACTTATGTATATTTTTCTTTGTTCTGCTCACATCCGATGTGTTTGACTAAAGTCATTTTATAATAGATGAGTCTCCAGTTTTCTATACTTATTCAACTGATTCTTTATCTGCACTGTGAAGATGACATAGTCATACAAAGAGATGACTGTGTGGGAAGAAATAACACAAGTACTGCTGAGAGGCACATATTTCAGTGACAGAATTTTCATGTTGGAGCATTGAAAACTAATAAGCTGCACCCTGAGGAAACCAGGCACTGAGATGAAGCCCAAAGTGAAAATGAAAGATAAGTTACCCAAGAAATATCTTGTGAACTAGCTTGAGAGGAGGGGTGGAAAATGTGGACACTCCTGGACCGCCCAAGAGACAAGCAGATGAGGGGAAGATATCAGGTTCTGTTAGGTAAAGTAACCAAACTCCAGTTCTATTTTGAAAGATTTGTCATTTTTCATTTCTCCCCTGAATAAAAAAACATTTAATTTGATTTATTTCTCAGCCCAGTCGTAAATCAGAACGTCAGTGAATAATTTCAGTTGTAAGTGGCATTTAGCAAGTTCAGAAAAATGGTTTAACAGGATTGTTCTAAAACAGGCTGCAGCTCACTGAGAGGAAAAATCACCAACATTACCAAGAACTGCATGATGCATTTTTCTTCTATGTTTTCCAAGATTACAACACATCAGCATCTGTGATTCAGGAGAGGGCCGAGTTCTGAAAGACAGATTTATCTTTCAGGGCAGCTTGATCTATGTGCGGTTCCCCGTCATTCCTGGCCAAAACACTGACAACTGGGCCAATCAGTATCCTACACAAGCAGGTGTACAGAAACCACGTCAGGCAGGTATTCAGAGATACACAGGGACAGCGGGACGGAGCTGGAGTGCCCAGAGAGAATCCACTGGAGAACCTACAAACTCGACACAGAAAACCAAAATTCAGACCAGGATCTGCTGGAGTTAAGCATCACATCAACATGAAATCTTATTTTCCATGGCCAGAGCTCTTTCTGGGATTATTACATTTGACTGTTTTTTATTTGAACTCTAATACGGCATCTTTGGTTTCATGCTCTTTCAGTCCTGCTCTGTCAGAGGCGCATGGTTCAGTTGTTATGCTCATGACACAAATGAGAATGCAGGAGACCAGCAGCCCTGTTGAACTAACAAGGTAGACAGAGGGAAATAGGAAAGGTGTCTTTGAGGTTTATTACAGGAGTGGAGAGAGAGACACACATAGAAAGAGAGTATGAAACAACTCACTTTTTCAAGCACCACTTCACCACTGGATGGACCAACAAAGAGAACCAATGGTGTTTTTCTTTTTCAAGCATCATTACAAGGAGCCAGCAATCCAAGACCTTCAGAGACGGAAATATTCAGCACGAATGGAATATTTCTGCAATTGGGAGAATGATCTATCAGCTTACCTGAATCAAATAACAACAGATAAAGCTGCGAACGAGTGTGCTAAAACCACTGACACATTAAATGCAACCCCTGCTGTGAGCTGCGGTCACCTGGCCTCAGTCCAGGGCATTGATTTACAAACTCTCCTCTAATGGCAGAGAGAGGACCCTGTTGCTCTGCCTCTGTCCTGGCTTGTTTTGGAAAAAACTGAGATCCGGTTTGCACAAACGACTATAACTACTGCTCACCAGCTCCTGTATCCACACAAAGACCAGTTAGCAATCGCATTATGTCACCTCCTTATCACTCTTCCCCTCTGTGTCTTTTGCAAATATTTCGTGGGCGCAGAGGGAGCAGCTGAGGCTCTGCAGCCTGCGGACAATGGCCCGGCTGACAGATGGGTAGGCTTTTCATACATAGAGAACATAGAAACAAATGTCCAATCTGTTCAATCCTGCATCCCTTATAATGAAGAAAGCTGTGAGGACTGTCTTGGAGGAAATATTACTCTCAAAATCCGTTTTTATTGTTGGAGCGGTTTGAGAATTGATTTGATTTGAGGGTTCTGTTAGACAAGGTGTTAAAGACTCAGCCAATGACAGCCGTCAGTCAGGTTGAAGGCAGCAATAAAACGCGAGTCATCCATGGAAAAAAAAACAGCTCATCAAGGACTGCCTCATCTTTACTGGCTGATGAAAAATAGGAGAGCCGACGCGTGGCTTCAGTTGCTGCTCAGAGAGGTTTCATTTGGATGAGAGGCGCGCATCTGTCCAGAGGTGCGCACTGATATTCTGCGTCCAGAGAAGCACGGAGAAATCTGCACACGGTAGGTTTGCTTCTTTGCCATCAAGCAGAGCTTCGAAATTAGCGTCAGGTGCAATTTAATAACACGTAAAAAGTCGGGACATGGCAGGTTTGAGAGAGAAGAAAAATGGACACAGAAATACGCGTAAATTGCTCCTCACTCAGGTATTGGAAAGTAAAATTAGCGGGGGGTTTTGTACTTTAGAGGCATTTCAATGGCTCATGGTGTAACGTTGGGGTGTGACCGAGTGACACTTAGGCGTCCAGTAGTCTCTGCATTGGAATATTTCTCAGCTTGCGTTTAAATGTTTTTTTTTCCCATGATGACCGCTCAGTTTATGCGTTAGACTCAAAGTAAGTGACAGTAAAAACAAATAACATAAAAATCTGCAAAATCTGCGAGTTCGGAGCCCGAAATCACATCGCTGACCTGTATTTATTGGACATTTAGTCTGTTCCAGAAACACTCATACGGACTCAGTTGAGAGGGAATGTTATAGCCTACGTGACAATCTGACATGAAAAAAACATTTTTTTAAAACAATTTAACTGCAACTTATCTCGAAAAATATGATTACATGTTGTATGTAGTTCCATCCATCCACCCATTTATTGCAGGATAATTCTAGCAAACAATAGGATCACTTAGAATTTGGATGTAACTGAAGGTGATGTCTTAACAGCTTTTCCCCCTTTGCTGCATCTTGTTCACACTTTTCATAGATTCATATCATTAATTAATTCAAATGTTTATTTTTATATTCTCATCATTATTAAATAGTTTTTTTATTACTATTCTCATCATTAAAGCAATTCATTGTAAATAATTCAATAATTTAATTACAAATGCCACTCCAGAGGGACTTTATCTGACCAACAGCTAAATGCTGTTTTGTTGACGTGATTATCCTCCAAATTTCATCAACTGAGCCAAGTCCAGGTCACCTTGACGCAGCACCTTCTGTGCACGTGAAACTCGGCACATTGTACGGACAGATGACGGTCCAGAGTGGGTGTGAGTCACGCGGCAGAATTTGCTTCAGTATTCTGTGTTTGTGCTGAAGGTCTGATGAAATGAGCGGTCAAGGAGACACGCAACCCATCCCTAGTCACCGTTACTGTGCAGCAGGCACTCTTCTTTCACCTGTGTGGAGTTTGGAAATTGAGTTGACCTGTGAGAAGTTAGGTCTTATTCTTCAATTATGTTTCTACGTAAAAAAAAAAGAAGTTTGTGTCAGGAAAATTCTCCTTCAAGAAGACAAAAGGATATAAAATGAGATTACCTCATTCGTATTTGAAGATAAATTACTCAGAGGGGATGAACCTCTCTGTGGTGGATGTGTACAGTACAAACCGGTTAGTTGTTATCCATGAAGAGCTTGGTGTCTCAATGCGTTATACAGTAAACAGGACTTCCCCCCTTCAGGTTGACACCACCTCTCTGGATGGAGGGCACAGGCAGTGGCTGTGCCGCGGAGCTCCCCCCCCAGTGCACGCTGCCCGACGTGTCTGGGAACCGCACGGAGCCGGTGTTCGAGGTGGCGCTGCACAACAGCTCCTCCAAGCGCAGCCCTCAGTTTGAGGGCGTGGAGCTGCTGCAGTCTTTCAAGCTGCTCATCATCCCCTGCTACACCCTGGTGGCCCTGGTGGGCGTCGTCGGCAATTACCTGCTCCTCTACGTCATTTGCCGCACCCGCAGGATGCACAACGTCACCAACTTCTTCATCGGGAACTTGGCTTTCTCGGACATGCTGATGTGTGCCACGTGCGTGCCCTTCACTCTGGCCTACGCCTTCAACCCGCACGGCTGGGTGTTCGGGCGCTTCATGTGCTACCTGGTGTACCTCATCCAGCCGGTGACGGTGTACGTGTCCGTCTTCACTCTCACCGCCATCGGCGTGGACAGGTGAGGAGCCGGTGAACAGAACCTGTGAGAAAGCTGCATGTTTTTTTAGATAATCCGTGGTCTCATAATGCACGCAACGAACACCAACGACTTTAAAAGAACAGCTGCACAAGGTTGCACAGGGCTTGTAATCAGTCTAATGCTTTTGTTTAAAAGAAATGTTCTGCTCGACGAAGAATTACGTCCTAGTGCTCTTAAAAGATAGTATTCACACTTCTAGCGTAATTTTCTTTTGTTTTTTAATGAGGCACGTGGAAAACAAAGAAGATGAATGTATTTCCCTGGCAGAGAAGCAGAACTGCCATTTGTTTAATTCAATATGAAGTCATATATATGTGGCTGGAGACCAACAATTCAGCATATTTTGACTGTTGTGGTTATATAGGAGCTTGGCAGCACGTGCGTTGATCGCTGTTATCATTTCCCATCCTTTTATAACTCGTTGGCTCTGCCTCCCTCTCAGATATTATGCCACCGTGCACCCACTGAAGAAGCGCATCTCGGTGTTGGCGTGCACCTACCTTCTGTCGGGGATCTGGCTGATGTCCTGCGGTCTGGTGGCCCCCGCCGTGGCCCACACTTACCACGTGGAGTTCGCGGACGAGGGCTTCACCATCTGCGAGGAGTTCTGGATGGGTCAGGAGAGGCAGCGGCTGGCCTACGCCTACAGCACTCTCCTCATCACGTACGTGCTCCCGCTGTCGGCGCTCTGCATCTCCTACCTCTGCATCTCGGTCAAGCTGCGCAACTGCGTGGTGCCGGGCCACCACACCCAGAGCCAGGCCGAGGCCCAGCGCACGCGCAAGCGCAAGACCTTCCGGCTGGTCAGCCTGGTGGTGGCGGCCTTCGGCGTCTGCTGGATGCCCATCAGCGTCTTCAACGTGCTGCGAGACATCGACATCAAACTGATCGACAAGCGCTACTTTTTGCTCATCCAGCTGCTCTGCCACGTGGTGGCCATGAGCTCGTCCTGCTGCAACCCCTTCCTCTACGCCTGGCTGCACGACCGCTTCCGCGCCGAGCTCCGCAAAATGTTCACGTGCCGCCGCCGCATCGGTATCTCAGCCAACAACTGTGCCACTGCCAGCGTGGTTTTATGAGCTTCTTCTTATTTTTCTTTCATTTTTTATGATGAATAAACACCACATCATTTCTGGCAAGCCTTACTATTTAGTGAATGATGAATGTTCAGTACAAGACACACACCAGAAGACAGGGAGCCTCAAAGCAGGTTGCTTCAGACTAGTTTTAGAGTATTGTTACATTTTTAGAATGAACAACCTGTTGGAGTTAATTGTTTTTCTGTAGGTCAACAAATGATCTCATCCAAACAGGTCCACACACTGACGCATCTCAAATCACAGAAAACCGTATCCTCATTAATGCTCAGCTGATGCAGCTCAGTCAAAGGTAACATCAGAGACCTGGAAACGTGAACATTTACTTGCATTTATTAAACTTAAACTACCTCATTTTTAAATTAGTCCCAAGTTAACCAATGGGTGGGGGGGGGGTGGCTGATTAAAAAGTGGCAATGCTGGTATTCTGTGTCTCTTGAGTATTGTTTTCCTTATCCCTGTAACTCTGTTCTCCATGTTGAGCTGTGTTGAGCTCAGTTCCTTGTTGCTGTCAGTGAGTTTCTACATTTGCAATTTGATAAATGCGACAATCCAAGCAGTACTTTTTGACTAGCTTTGCCACTGACATGATGAAGAAGGGGTTGCTGCATATCCTGACCTCATTACGGAACCAGCCGTCCATTGATGTGAATAAAAGGAGATGAATACTGGGGGCCTTCAGACAGAGGACACATACACTGATGATAGACTATTCAGCTTAATTGTCATTTGAAAATAGTTCGTAAAAAAACCTGTCTGCAAGTTGTCTGTTGATGCAATTTTGGAAAAGAAAAAAAAAACTCAGCGGTCCATTGATAGTTTCTCATTCGTACGGATTATCTGTATTTGTACTGTTCTTCTGTAAACGGCAAGATTTTCCTTGTACATTTTCGAATGATGTGTTTTACCATATGAATGAGTGAATGTGACAGGATGATGTACAGATAGAATGATTACAAGTGTTTAAATACAGTTATTTGGTATGGACTTCGGCTGTTCAGAACAATAACGCTTACCTCTACACCTGCTTGACACTCTTTTGGAAGTGTCATGACATGGCATTTGGTCTCTAAAAGAAAACGTGGTGATAAAGACCAGGCAAAGTTGTGTATGCAAAATGTGGTTGTTTAAGTGTTAATTTGTGCTATTTATGCATATCGACATTTGCGGACGTGAAATGCAGAATAACTGTAAATAACTCCAATTACAGCCCATCTGGTGTTATACTAATAGTGTCTTTATTTCAGTGAAAAGTAAAACTCTTTTTATCACCCCTTTCAGACATTTAAAACAGTTTTGGTACCATTTTAAAGTCAGACAAACACTTAAAATACATTCTTTTAACAAAAAAATGTAGCCAACAAATTTCCATCTGTCAAATATTACATTACATTCAGGCAAAAAAAAGGACAGAAGGCACAGTTCAGTGCATTATGAAGATGAATATTGCTTATTTCAGCCTACATAGAAATTCTTAGTTTAAATGCATTCATTAGTGTACTTCAAATGCAAAGTAAATGCTGGTTATTAGAGTTTCTTTGATTAATAGCTGTTTATTATCTCTGGTTTTCATCACATAAATACCATAATCACAGTGAAGATCTTTGTGTACAGGCCATAAAATATAAAGGGAAAAACTATAGCGCATGGTATTTAGCACAGTACAGTAGCTGCCTGCTTGTAGTTGCTGCTTGGTATCTAAACGAAACCTCCTTGCAGCGACAATAGGCACGACCTCCTTTAAAATAAACTCTCAAAAGGAGTGAAGAGAAAAAAGGTAAGACTTTAGTGGTGGAAGAACATGGTGATGAGAGGTTTGAGCGAACATGAGTTACACACACAGCTCAAACTATAGAGTGACAAGGCCAGACACTAGTTTAACAAACAGTCCTCTGGACATCTGAAGTATATTAAACAGAATTTAGTTGGTTGCAATATGTAGATCCAACTTCAGGATTTATCATTACATAATAGGCAAACAAACGTCAGTACCTTAGTGTTGATAAAATACAATCATTCGCTGATATAAAGATTGTTTAATTGCTTATAATTTATCACGATCCATCCCGATTTTCCAGCATTATCTCATCTTTCTTTTTTTTTTTACCCTGAAAGGAAAAAGTGCATATGCTTATAGACCTTCTGGGTGGTCCCATCTCTGGGTACACTGTCAACAACACAAACGCACAGAAGAACCACGAGTCCCTCATGAAGGGGCAGACCCTCTGTCCAGACGGCATCCCCTCACACTGGCTTGGCGTTGAGGGCGTTTAGGATAGCAGGTTTCTCCTCTATGACACGCACCAGCAGATTGTCTATGTACTCTTCGAGCTCGACAATCTTCGCGTCCTTCTTGGAGAGGTCAGCCTGCTGCTTCACCACCATGGTGATCAGCTCTTCTTGGGTCAGCTGACTGTACGCGCCACTGACCACTGGGTCCCCCACCTGCAAAGAGGCGCATGCTCAGTCATTCCTGTCTCACTATATCGACTCATTTATTATTATTATTCATTAAGCTGTTAGACCCAGCTTTCAAAGCTAAGGAAAAAGCTGAATTGGCTAAATGAGATGCCATTATATCTATACCAGAATTATAGTTGCAGCTAAATTCAATGAAGCTTATGTAAGAAAATGCGTGGGCTCAATAGCCATTTATGCCATCATGACTTACTTTGAGCTTCCCTGGTGAACTTTCCCGGGCTTTTATTTCCTTCACAGAGAGAGGGCTGATGTGATTTGGGCTCTCAGCTGAGCTCATGGGCTTCACAGGATGAGGCCTGAAATGAGTTAACATAATGTTTCAGTGCAGGTAGGAAGGATCAACAGGAACAGAACGACAGAAAATAAAAGTAAGAATACTGAGAGCCCCAGGCGAAGAGGTAACAGCCCAAATTCCACACCACGAGGGTTCCCTTCTGCCTTCAGAAGACTCCTAACCTGCCTGACATGCCTCAGTTTCAGTCCAGCTCTTTTCAGTGCACAACAACATCTAACTGACACGTTTGCTGACTTTTGCTCGTTCAGCCGGTCTCAAACAGAAAAAGGAGCTGTTGTCTCACAGTCCGCCGTCTTGGAGGGGAGTGCTTTTTAAACAGGAGCTAAAACGAAGCATTTCAGGCATAAAGTGAGCGGAGGGACAACACCAACATGTAAGGAACCTGTTTGGTGTTGAAAATTAAATGATCTCTCGTCATTGAGCATGATATGGACCCTAAAACTGATTTCATTCCCCAAATTTCTGATTGTACATGATTATATCCAGATGTCAGGGAAGATGCCAACAGCCCAGTGTGACCAAAATGACCCAAGATGAGCACCGACAAATCATCTGGCCCCAGTGTAAAAGTCGACAGAGGCAGACTTTGAAGGTAGGCCTTTCAATCTCACCTGCGTGGCGTTGAGGCCAGTCCAGCCCCGTTACTACTCTGGGCACTGACAGGCTGAGCTTCAGAGGGGGACACCCACGCTCTCAAAAGGGTCTTCCCCCCAGGCAGGTTTCCTGTCTGTGATGGTTCCTCCATAACTGCCTGAAGAGGCTCTGAGGACACTGGAGAACGAGGAGGTTCGGCTCTGAATGAATCCTCTCCACCATAGAGACTTCTTTGTGTTCTCACATCAGCGGGAGGACGAGTGTCGGCTGCCTTGGCGACAACTTTTGCAAAGGGACCTTGAACTGCTGCGACTGAGGTGGTTCCCTCTTTAAATGCTGCTTCTTGCTGAGACTTGAAAGTCTTATTATCTGAGCGAGCCGAGGACGGAACGCTCTTTCTTCCTTTCTGTGAATTCTTCCTGTGAAAAGCAGGACTGGCTTGTTTGGAGCCGTCCTCCTTTTTCCAGTTGTCACTCTGTTGGGCGGAATCCCAGCCACTGATATCAGCAAAGGGATCAGCAAACTTTTCCTGATTAAAGATTTGATCAAAATCGTCTGCCGTCATTCCGGTCTCCTCGGGTTTGGGCTCTTTTGGCACCCTGCTGGTAAAGAGGTTGTCTGTTTTGTGGCTCTGCTCTGCCTGTGCCCACGGGTCTGCGAGGGGAACTGGATCCAAACCTGCAGAATCCTCCTCTTCTCCCGCCTTTTTGTCCCGCCAGCTCACGTTGGAGCTGGAGGGGGTTTGGATGTAACCGTTCAGAGCAGGATCCTCTTGCTGTTTGGGCTCTTTGACCTTTTGCCTGGGTTTGGCTGTGGGTGCTTCTATGGTCAGGGAGCCTTGCACCTTCTCAAAAGCTGTTTGGCTGGACTGCCTTTGAGTAGGCGGGTCAGATGTAGGGTGGAGCGCCGTCCTTCCGCCATCTCTGGACATCTCCCTGTTTGACATGTCAGGTTTTGCAGAAGATGGCACTGCAGATGGACTTGGCTTCATCAGAGAACGTGGAGCCACCTTCTGACTGCCCTGACTGGAATCTACAGCCGATCGAGGGTGTGGAGAGGGCGCTGCTTTCGGGGGAGCTGGGGCAGCTACTTTTTTGGATGACACAGGTCTAGTGTCCTGAACAGCAGGGCTATCCTTCTTTGTGGACGGTTGAGGAGGTGGCGCTGGTTCTTCTGGGCCATCCACGCTCATCTCTGGACCCAGGAGCTCAGGTGGAGTGTCTCTGTGTCTCTGATTGACCTCTGCGATTATGTGTTCCCACCGGCTGTGAGCTTGCACTCCATGTCTCTTTTGGGGATACAATGTTTCATAATCAGGCAGCGGCAGAGACAGTTTTCTCTCTTGTTGCGATCCGTCCATCTCTACATATGCAGGATTATTTATCTCCCTAACCGGAACCGGATTTCCATCAGTCTTGGTCCCATTCAGACTGTATGAGGGAGGTAGGAGAATTCTTCTCTTCTGATCAGCCATGGTGGGTGAAGATTCTTCTGATCCCACAAGGGACAAATTATCTGTACTGCCACAAGGGGAGCCTGATAGGCTTTGGCTTTTGTTTGGAGGGGCTAGGAATGAGTGTAGGCTGGAGAAAGTATCAGGGGTCTCAGGTGGAGCACAGGGGTAGGTGGACTCTGAGGTGGCAGGGGGAGGACAGAGCTGAGAGGGGGGCTGGCAGTCAGTGGGTTCAGACTCCGAAATATCAGACAATCTGCCGAGAATTGAAAACAAAGGCCTACAGGTCAAATTTACTGTCACCATGAGTCAACCCATCACCAGATGAATCTCGTGTCACATGACACGTTGCTAACAGCTCCCGGAAATTCCCATCGAAATGTTACAAAAGCCCAGTGAAATATTCTTGGTTTTAACAACAAAAGGATGAATCTGCCATCTGTGACATGTATAAGGACTAAACTTAGCTTTTACTTCAAATAAAGGCCAGCCAATGGAAAAACTGACATGACGCTACTGGTCTCTATTTTTCTATTTTATTGCTGTGAGATGTCTCACAACAATGACAACAAGCTACTGAAACTATCGCACCAACTTTACAGCAAATGCAAAAATACATGACTCTTACAGAAAGAGAACAACCTTGACAGTAATGGGCTCTAAGGAAAATCTGCCAAAGACATTCCTGAATGTGGGACGGCTAAACAATGCAGACAAAGGCTGTCTTACCATGATCGTACGAGAAAGCCACGGCCTATCAAAGTCAAAAAGCAGCTGCAAAACAAAACAAATAAAAAAAAGACTAAAACTAAATACAATTCTTCAAAAAGTCCACATAGAGCAGAAGAGCTGTGACTCAGCGGCTCCTTCTGAGCTCATATCGCACCACAACTTGTTCCACCGCATCTCCACAAGCACAAGCCACACCCAGATTCTCATCTGCTATCCAACCAAACAAGTCCGACAGGTCCGTC